AAAAAACTCAAATGACATCACCGGATATAATAGTGTATTTCATGTAGCTGTGCCATGTAATAATATTTTAATATAGGTACTATGTTTATATAATACAACGTGTAACGTGTTCGTTATCTGCAGGATTTACACTTAGACCGTCAACTAATCACGGAAATCCGTGTCCATACTAAACGCGATATAAATTAAACAACTATTGTCACCAGCTACTTTTATTTCTCACTACTAAACTTCACCTGCATAAGCTGCTCCTCAAACCAATATGAACTGGAGCTATTCAGCAATGGATAGGTTCCTATCTGCTAAACTCACCGACATTAACAAAATCCAAACATTCCAATTAATGTCTTTGTCAAATAACCAATAAGCTCCGTACTGTTTCAAATGATATAAGTGATATTAMTCTCCATAGAGTTATTTTTATCACAGCAGCACGACACTTTGCGCAGATTACGTATACTAAGTACATCAACATTCCWAACTTCACAAACATCGAAACCCACTAATCTCAAAACTGTCCGTTATCACTATTCCAGGTGGCCCRAGAAAGTGCCTAAAACGCGAACATGGTGTCTTTACCTACTAATCGAATAATTCTCACAGCTCCACGTCATGACTCATGAAGTCAATGAATGGATCCTTTACCAAAGACCTCGGTCTTTAAAAATGCAGTCAATTTATTTTAGATTTTTATTTTATCTTATTTTATGTTAAATTTATATAAACATCAATTGTACTTATTGTAAAAATATATTTACAGATTGCACCGTTCTCAATTAAAAAGTTATAAAAAAAAATCCAWCCACATCAAATGTTGGCCTCTGTACTAAATGTTTTTGTAGGCCCATTAAAAARCTTCCTATAAAATACAAYCAGTTACAAGTCTATTATTTAGCATAATATTATATAATATACAATTATATATCATAAAAATATTATTACTTAATGTAAAATAAGCATTCATATAAAAATTTCAAAAATTCAAAAAAATTCATTTCAACGGGCCCGAGTCAAAAAAGCCCCCCCCCCCTTCGTGGTAACCCTGTATGTGTATATAGGAAACTCTGCGAGATGTATATACCTCCGACACACGTGTGCCCGTCGAGAAAATCTTGCCGGAGGTCCTTGAGCTCCCTGACCCGAGCAGCTTCCTCCGGCGCCTCGATGGCGGAGAACACGAATGCTCCGACGGCCAAGAACGACACGTAAAAGCCGATGAACACCAACAGGCGTACGGTGGCCGGCGACCACATGGCGACCGCACGACGCGTGCGGCGGTCCGCGCTAATGCCGGGTGGCGCGTGTTGCACTCCGCTGGCGCGGCGGTCTCGTCATCGCAACACGG